CAAATATTAATTGGAGAATAAATACAATTAAGTTTAATTAAGATTATGTTGTTATGTGGGACATGCACGGAGTGGCTCGTGGTGGTCACGATTCATGTCTAATGGTTGTGGTATATCCCTTCTTGTCTTGAAGCTGTGGCAGCTGCTCTTTCATCCCCATAATTGTTAGCCACTTCTCTTGATTCGGAAGAGCTCAACACTCACTTTCAAAACACAATTTGCAAATATGACATTTTCTTTTAAGTTTTGGAATGCTACTTGCACAAATTTGAGTGAATTCAGACCAAAGGCTTGATCCAGATATATAGGTCGGCATGGACTCTCCATTCAAATCATGCATGCTCCTCCGTCCACTGTTCTAAAAATCTCTACTTAGGTCCCGTCTAGGTGCTAGACGGCTGGCCAACACCTCGATAAATTCCTAGGCGTTTAAAAATTAAGAAATAGCGCTTTGACCTACTTAGGTGTCCACCTAGCTCGCCTTGACCCAGCTAGGTCGCAACTCTCACTTAAACAAAAAAATGGATAACTTGAATTTTGCATTTTTTTCCCAATAAAATGTAAGAGATTTGTTGAATACTTGAATGAACTCTCATTATATGTTTGTTCCCCATGTTTTCAATATGTTATAATACTTTATAATTTATATGTCAATTTATTCAGCAATTTAAGTATCCCAATAAAACTACATATTTTTTAAATATAAATAGACACTTATTTATACAATATATGATAAATATACTTAAATTCGTCTAGTCTACCTAGGCGTTAGGCTCCAACCTGTTGCCGGGCTAGCACCTAACGCCTTTTAAAACCTTGCCTCCATCTAATCCCACTTAACGTGTTGTATGTTTGGAATGAGGATCTTCTCCGGATCCTCCTTTGTGAGGATCCTGGAGATTTTTAAATTATATCCGTTTATCGTACATCGTGTGGTTAGAAATTATTTTAAATTAAATATGAATAGTACCTAACGAAAATTGACCGCACGATATACAATAAAGGAACACAATTTGAAGATTCCCAAAATCCTTATAAAAAGAATCCAAAGAAGACCCTCGTATGTTTGTATTGGAATTATCGAGCATAGCTAGCCTAGCTAGGTTGTCATGCCAATTAGGGCCAACAAAATTCATGAATACATATGAAAGGTCGAGGCTAGTAGAGCTGCTCATGAACTTGGTCAATTTGCCTTAAAAGTTGGTAATTTTCTCTCTTGGATCAAAGAGGAGCCATCTTGGTTGTCTTCTTTTCTCTATGTTGATGGAGTACACAGAGAAAATGAGAGTTTCAAACTTTACAATAATTTAGGAAAAATGAGAGTTTAAAACTATTACAATAATTTAGGAAAAATGAGAGTTTCAAACCCTAGATGCATAAGTAGAAACTCAATACATTATCCACTAGCATACTACATGCATCTTTAAAACATTTCAATCTCACATATGCTTATTATTTATTTCAACTTTATACATCTGTTCCAATTTTTATTAATTTCTCTATTATATGCCTACGTGGACGTCGCAAACCACAAAATATGTGTAACATGAATAAAATAAAATAAAAGGTTTAAGAAAAAATGAAAAAACAAAAAGTTATTCGTTTATCTTGAACCCTTTCATAGACTCATTCCCACCACAAGTATTACAACTTTACAAGAGTAATTTATCTTAACCAGGATATATGCGCTATGAAAAGTATATTCACGATGATAACAAAGAATCGATTAGGTTATTGGAGGTACGTGCCCCTCCAAAGGATCCAAAGGAGAAAATCTTAAGTACACGTAATAACATTATAGAAATCTCTTCCTATACGATAAACGTTAAGGAGATCATATTTGTATCATAATTACTATCATTTAATGTGACAAGTGATGTACATGTCACGTTAATTAATAATTTACCTATTTAAATATTTATTATATGTATCAATTGCCACGTAAAAATAATACACTAATATATTATACATATGTAGGTTGTGCTTATTAGTATCGCACCACGCATTAATAACATACTAATCCATCTTTCTTATACTAATTCAAATTTTAGTAGATGTAGAAGAAGCTAACTAATATTAACTCTTTAGTACCATAATTTGGTTGTATTTCTCTTTACTTATAAGTGAGAGGTTTTAGGCTCGATTCTCATTAAAAGTGAATTTGAGTCAAATTATTATAGCTCATTCAAATTTAATTTTTGCAATAATTAAACTTAAAACTTCTTACTTACGAGGATAACTTGAATTGAAAAAAAAAATCTAAAATGCTTTACCTAAAAAACAAAAATAATTCCAATTGGAATCTTTGTTTGTGAGGCAGCCATCTCACCAACGGGTGAGTCAACACATTTGGTTGATTCCTTCAAACTCTCAAAAAGACCTAGAAAACAACACCACCTTCCAAGTCCACGGTTCCACCTTCACTGTCGCTTTACTCTTTCACTTACTTGACGCCACCTTCTCTGCAACTCTCCCATGGCTGCCACCGCCACCACTAAGCCCTCTCCCTCCGCTCTCTCTTCCTCTCTCTCCAATCCCTCTCCTCTCCCCCGAACCCACAAAACCCCTTCCTCCTTCTCCCCCAAAACCCTCCCTAAACCCACTTTCCCTCTCAAAACCTCCTGCCTCTCACGTACCCCCAAGCCCTCCTCCTTCACCCTCCGCTCCAAAAACCCAATTTCCGACGTTTTCTCGGCCGCCAACCAAAACCCAGATGGCCGTTCAGTAGATTATGACGATGACGAAAAGCCCCGGGAGGAGTGCGGCGTGGTCGGCATATACGGGGACCCGGAAGCCTCCCGCCTCTGCTATTTGGCCCTGCACGCCCTCCAGCATCGCGGCCAGGAAGGTGCTGGGATTGTGTGTGTCCAAGACGACGTGCTTCAGTCTATAACCGGCGTGGGGCTCGTCTCCGAGGTGTTCAATCAGACCAAGCTTAACCAGCTGCCTGGCGACTTGGCAATTGGGCATGTCAGGTACTCCACTGCCGGTTCCTCTATGCTCAAAAATGTCCAGCCTTTTGTTGCAGGGTACAGGTTTGGGTCAGTTGGGGTTGCCCACAATGGCAATTTGGTCAATTACCGCTCCCTTCGAGCGAGGCTCGAAGACAGCGGCTCCATTTTCAACACCAGCTCTGACACAGAGGTTGTTCTTCACCTTATTGCAATTTCTAAGCATAGACCTTTTCTTTTGAGAATTGTTGATGCGTGTGAGCAGATTCAGGGGGCTTATTCTATGGTTTTCGTGACCAAAGATAAGCTCGTAGCCGTTCGGGATCCACACGGGTTTCGGCCATTGGTAATGGGTAGGAGGAGCAATGGCTCGGTTGTGTTTGCCTCTGAGACTTGTGCGCTTGATTTGATTGAAGCCACATATGAGAGGGAGGTGTTTCCTGGAGAGGTTGTAGTGGTGGATAAAGAGGGGGTTCAATCACTTTGCCTTATGTCTCATCCTCAGCCAAAGCAATGTATCTTTGAGCACATTTACTTTGCTCTCCCGAATTCTGTGGTTTTCGGTCGTTCAGTGTATGAGTCCCGGCGGGCATTTGGTGAGATCCTTGCCACCGAGGCGCCGGTTGATTGTGATGTTGTGATAGCGGTGCCTGATTCTGGGGTGGTGGCCGCACTTGGTTATGCTGCTAAAGCTGGTGTGGCTTTTCAGCAGGGTTTGATTAGGTCTCATTATGTTGGGAGGACCTTCATTGAGCCATCACAAAAGATTAGGGACTTTGGTGTGAAGCTCAAGTTGTCACCGGTTCGGGCTGTGTTGGAGGGGAAGAGGGTTGTGGTTGTGGATGACTCCATTGTGAGAGGAACCACGTCTTCGAAAATTGTTAGGTTGTTGAAGGAGGCTGGTGCAAAGGAAGTTCATATGAGGATTGCAAGCCCGCCGATTATTGGTTCTTGTTATTATGGAGTGGACACACCAAGCTCTGAGGAGTTGATTTCAAATAGGATGAGTGTTGAGGAAATTAGGGAGTTTATCGGGTCGGATTCACTTGCCTTTCTGCCAATTGGTAAATTGGAGAAAATGTTGGGCAGTCAATCTCCTAACTTTTGTTATGCTTGCTTCTCTGGAAAATACCCTGTGGAGCCTAGAGAGATTAAAGTGAAACGAGTGGGTGATTCTTTGGATGATGGGTTAGTCGGTAGTTTTGAGAACATTGATGGGGGCTGGGTTCAAGCGAATCACAGCCCGAAAGAGGAGAAGGACAAGGAATTTGAGGGCGTTGTTATCTAATACCATTGCTTGCAACTCCTCCAGTTTATGGTGGATGTTTTTGTGATCAAAGGAGCACAGCAGGGGATACTTTGCTGTGGCCGACTGGTGTCTTAAACTGATCCAAGTTATGGGTCTGGTTGGTTCCTTTTCAATTTTGCATCTGATAAGTTGGATTTATGATTTATCTTTTCTTGATGATACACCGTTTGGTTAAATTTTTATACAAAGCTTAAATGTTATGAACCGTTCGTTCCATTAAAGCTGTCTTTCGTTCTATGATGATATGATGGCAAGTATTTTATTTCTAGATAAGTTTGGAGCAGTAGTTCCTCAACTTTGGTACGCATGGAGCTTTGGTCCTGAACTAAAAATCCGTGAGTATTGGTCTCTAAACGAACCGAGCGAAACCAAATATTTTGGGGTAGAAAAGAGAGTTCGACACCTGCTTTACTTTATTCCAGACACCAACTAAACTTGGAACTCTTTGCCTTCGATCAGAAAGCCCATTGTGAATTCTGCTAAATATACCTTCTTGGTCAACACGGCGTGGTAAAAATATGTTCTTAAGATCACATGGCTCAAACATAAACGCCTTTTTCTTCAGTGCATATGGTTCTGTTAACCTACCACCTTATAGAGCATTTTAGTAATCAAACTGATTTATATTCCAATTCAGGTCATTGCTAAACTTAGTTATAAGAAAGTACGGAACCAACGTCGTTCCTACACCGAGTAACTCCAACGGAAAATCTAATATCCGACTCCTCGTAACGACGGACTAGACTGAAAGACCAAAATTAGACCTATCAAGGCGACAGTATAATAACATACTAAATGTTTTTTAAATACAAATTATAGCATACATAACAAGAATGTTTGCATTTTAATCAAACAGGTTTCAATTTCTGGGGCCAGTGGACAAATTGGCGCCTACCAGACTTGGTTAAGAATTATTTGAGGACATTTTAGGACCGAGAGGGCAACTTGGTTTGAGGCAGGCATGAGGTAAGTCAGGTTCACCCACATCGACGTGTGAGATTATATCGTCCATACGCAGAATCGAGAAACTACGCAAAATCAACCGTTTTCAGCTCGGTCGTAAGAATTGGATTTGTGCTTTGGTGCAAATGTAAAGCCATCTGGAACCTTGCCAAGCAATATCTCAGAGATCCTAACCTGCAAATGTCAAGAAACTACATTGTTAAGCAGGTTGGCTCAGTGACTTGGATCGGCTGTAAGAGAAGGCAAAGCCATACCCAATCAGCCGCAGAATCAGAGGCCATTAGTGTCTCAAGGTCATCACGGCCATAATAGGATGGCGGGCGCCAGTTCAACCGTTGTGGAATGACATCTAGAAGACCCACAGGTACGTATCTACAAGTGTAGCTAAGCCATTCTAACAGAAAACGCCTAGTTGTCTCCACACCTGGGACATGAATAACAGTCCAACTAATTATACCATAGATTAAGTGCTGAAAACAAAGTAAAACTTTTTAAGTAGAAACCAACATGAAGTTGGTAACCAGCCACCCTGGTCAGCTTCATGAAAGGAGCAAAACATCCTATGAGGGCACAGTTTCAATATAATGCCATATACAAAATAACATAAGTAATAATAAGAAAAAGGGAGCTGTTATTGGAACTCCAAATAAGTCAACCCTGCACTCTTCCCTAATATTTTTTATACGAGAGAATTTGCACATGAAGAAATGCATGACGACCTTTTCGGAGTACCACATTACCCTAAGGCCTCGTTTGAGGGGAGGACTAACTTGGATAGGACTATTCACTAAATTTACGGCATTTTTATGAGGAGAATTTGCACATGGAGAAATGCAGGATGACCTTTTCGGAGAACCATAGTACCCTAAGAAAACTCTAGCTGAGTAAATTACTGATGATATGTTCAAAGCTAATTATACGAACCTTTTGTGTCAGAGCCCCAATGTTCAAGGCCAAGACGTACATAATCCTTCAATATATTTAATCGCTCCCCAGAACTGATGTCCCAGTGCCTCTGCTCCTTTATTTCAGTAAAATCCAAGGCTGAAAATCACAAGGATGGTTAGATAGCACAAGTTTTAAACTTGGTTGAGACAAATACGGAAAAGATAAATACATACATATGTGTGTGTGTTTTGGGAATGTACTTGAAGATAAATAAACGAGTAAATGTGGCAGAAGGAGAAGACAAGCTGCAAAGTACAGACCTTAATTAGTGCTCCTCGAGCAATCATGCATGTAGACAGCTCAGGGCATTCAGCCTTGTGCTTGTTCCAATCTACATATGAAAATATGTCTCCATTTCCAAGTACTGGCAAAGCCTTAGGGGCCTTTCTGGCACACTGGTAAACATATTCCCAATCTGCAAGCTTGCTGTAGCGTTGTTGTCGAGATCGACCATGTATTGTTACTGCACTAGCTCCCCAGTTTCCCATGTCCGCAATAAGTGAATCAATGCGATTTTTCCCCTCAAAATAGGCTGTCCTGACCTAGAGCAACAATAAAGCAGCATTATAACATTTTGTGGACAACCTTAAAACCTAGAACCGCACATAAGAAGCAATGAAGCAGAAAAGACTTAAAAGAGGCCATGACTGCCGAGAAAGCATGTCATCCTTTTGGAACAAACAATTAAAAGAATGCCACACATTCTTCAGCCAAACTTGCTATCTTGCAGACTGATGTAGACTGTTTTGTTCACAGTTGTCTAGAACAGGAATAAATTCAGTACCTTAATAGTTATAGGACAGTCCACAGTACCAGAAGCGGCTTGTACGATGCCTTTCATCCGCATGGGTTTTGTAAGAAGAGCTGAACCAGCACCCTTGTTCACAACAATATCAATTGGGCACCCCATATTTATATCAATAAAGTCCACTTGACATTCCTGATCAATTAGCTCAACAGTGTGTGCCACAGTGTCTGGATATGCTCCACATATCTGAACACCAAACAAATCCTCAGATGAATGTCGCCTCAGCAGTGCCCATTCTGATGCTTGACCCTATTTCCATATGAAAATTGCACTTAGAAGAATGTGACATTGGATAGTACATTACAACATCAACCATATAAAATACAAAACTTGAAAAAGAAAATTGTAAATACAAAGAAAAATGATTAGCCCTAACAACAGTTTAAGGAGAAAACACTGTCTACGTGTTGTAGCATATACATTGCAGAACTGTGAAGATGGAAAAGCATGCTTTCCTTCCAGTGCACGCTTCAGAATAATATCATAATCAAATGGCCCAAATACCTATCTTAAGCAACTTAAACCATATGAAGTAACAGCATCACTAGCCATACTGTTAAGCATAAATCTCCATAAACACCAGAGAATTTGGGAATGGTAAAATACAGTTTATTTTCACACCAAATATTGTATGTTCAATATCTTAGAAGACATAATAAATAAATACTCATAATTTTAATTATGGGATGTATCAGACTTTGCAGATGAATACTCATAATATAATTATCATTAAGATCAGTTGAGACCCATTTAAATTTTAAACAAACCCATTAATTTTTATAAGGTCTTTTCTTGTAAAAACAGTAACAACAACAATAATCAGCTGGAAAAAGCAAATCACAAACCTGCAAAAGATTTGTGCACATTGCCATTTCACCACATGTTATATCTGCTCCTAACACTTTGCAAACCCTTCGGAATGGAAGGTTTCCAACGGTGGTCAGAGGTGCAAGGTACAACTTTTCTCTAAAATCAATAAGCTTCCTTTCACGTGGGTGTAGTCTTAGGCTTCTATCACTCTCTGGTAATACAATACCAACAGTAGCCTCTGGTTCAGGTGCTGTAGAGGTCTGCTCAGCAGCTTCTTTTGCAGCACTTACACCTATAATCAACTTACATTGGATGCCTCCAACTATTAAGAAAAAAATAAATACAGCAAAGGGAACAAAAGGCTATACCTCCATCATCTACTTCACCAGAGCAAATCTCCTCTTCAATTACAGATCTTGTCTTCTTCGAAGGCCGAGATTCATCATCTGGACATGTTCCATCAAGGCCACCCTCTTCTCCTATTTCAGCAGGCAATTCACTACAGCCATTTCCATCAGTGACATCACAGTTATTTGAAACAACCTGGTCATCCTCCTTATCTTCTAATATCTTTATTTTTGACTTGGCATTCCCCTGGAAACAGAATAGCAGTAGTTACAAAAATATTGAATCCAAGTTAGACACACAGAAATGCATGTAAACCAAACACAAATTCCCTCTCCCAAATACTAACTTTGAGAATATGAAAAGCAAGAAAGAATAAGGAAGAAATTTACAAATGCGGTGCCAATTGCCCTTTCAAGTAGCCTAATCCCATAGCCACACTTGAAACAAATTATTGAGATAAGATTATCACATTTTACATAGAAGCAAACAAATCCAAAAGAAATTTAATTAGTTGATCAATTCATCGTAAAGTGTACAAGTTTTTGTGTCATTAAACATTTAAGCACAGCATTTACCAATTTGAAGCCTTCATACCAAGAACATACAAATCTGCAACTGCACCTTTCTTTTTTCCTTCCCAGCTTCATATTGAATATCAAGGGATTTTTTAAACATTCCTTACATCACTCAGTGGTTTAATTCAACTTTGTGTCCCTCGTACTAGGACGATTCCGATTACCCACTGATTCACGCCGATTCGCAAATCACTGAAATCACTACTTCCGGCGTGTGGCTTGTGAGCGGGGAATAGCCTGGAAGACGGCTGCTATACATTTGAGCCTTTTTTTTTTAAGAAAAACTTTAAAATTAAGTTACACTATCCCAATTAATTAGATAAATCTAGCACACGTACCCCACTATAAAATTAAGTTACCAAATCCCAATTAGAATTAATAATTAGGGTTGATATTTGATATTTTTTATGTTTTGGATTTGAATTTCTTATGTTTTATATTGGATTTGAATCATTCAGTTGGTCAAAATGATATATTTTAATTATTCACATATTGTAAATATTTTTTTTTTTTTATAATTAGTGTATCCATGTATCATGAAATTTTGTGTTTTCACGAACAGCCAAATCAAATCGTATTGTACTGCGGTCCCCATACCCGTCTCCGTGCTTCATAGCTCTATATGCAGTGCACAGTGCAGATGAGCAACTAAGATAGAAGTACCACAATAACAGAACAGAACAAAAAAAAATGAGGATTATTGCCTTGGTACAAATTATAGCATCATGTGAATCACAGCAAAGAATCCATCTTTATACAATCATGCATATAAATGCGCCCGCGCACACACACATATAGAGAAAAGAGACATTGTTAGGGAAGAAGGATAATGATGTATCTCAATACCTCGAGCCCAAGAGCCTTGAGTTTGGCATCTGCTTTGGGGAACTTCATTTTATTCTTCCACAAAAGCTTTTGAACGTCTTTGGTCAATCCATTCACCTCGGAGCTTCTCCTGTGAGCACTCACATCTCCACCTTCAACACCGTCTTTATGCGAACCCAAGAACCTACATGCCAATCCATACGGGCATGCCTCTTGGGCAGTCATGAAAGGACACTCTCCCTCGATGTCGTCAGGTTTCTACACTCAACAACAATTGAATCCTCACAAGGGTCAATCCCCACATAACATTTTGTTTACAATAAAACCCAATGAAGCAAAAAATCAACTACTACACAAGCAACATTCCAATTCATTTCAAATTACCTGAGCTTTATAAGCTTCTACGTCGTGGCTGAACCGGCATTTGTCCTTGTACGGGCACCGACTAACATCTCCTCTTTTCGCCACCTCCGGGCAGATGCCTACAGCCGATTTCACTGCCTGCAATGTTGAAGAAAAACAAAATTACCAAAATTATTGTCCTAAGCTCAGATGGAAACTCAAAATTCTTAATCCATTTCAATGATTTCAATTCCCCCCAAACAATGGATTCGCCCTTCCCCTATCCAAACACAACCTGTTGGCGTTCGCGTTTGAGCTGCCGCTTGGACTTCTTCTCCTTCACCACACTAGTCTGGGAAGCCTTTGATTTCCCCTCCGAGACGGCGTCGTTCTGGTCGTTAGAGAGACCTCTGATAGGGGGAGGGCGAAGGAACTGTTTCTTCACGGGAGCGATGCACTTGTCCACCAGCTCCTCCGGCGTTCGCTCAGAGCCGCCGTTCCTAGCCTCGGGAACCGGGGCGGTTTCGGCGGGAGACTCGTCCATGGAGGACTGAGTTGACTCGTGCTAACTCGGAGGCTTGGTAGGGGTTTACGGAAATTGTTAAGGGTTCACTGGTGCATTGGAGTCTGAGTGAGGGTAGGGTTTTGCAGTGCGTTTAGGTGACCCGAAACGACGTTCAAATTTAGCGTGTCGACCCGACCCAGGGAGCCCGGTTGTAGTTTTGATTGCACTGCACACGGGTGGGTCGGTGGGTTTGGAATTCAACCCGTTAGCCTATCTTATAGGTTCGGGTTATAATTGTTCCAAATTTATGGCCACCCAATTCCATTTGAAACCAATCTACCCAAATTATTCTTTAAGCGGGTTTTTTTTTTTTTTTTTTTTTTTTTTTTTTTGGTAAACAGAGAAATCCATTCCCGGGCCAAGAGGCCAAAGCAAACACCGAAAGCCAGACAAGGCAAACACAATCAAACCACAAGACAGTGCAGAGGGGTACAACAAATAAGACGCAGCAATAAAGCAGAGCGTCGCCCTCAACACCGCCATAGGGATAAACTAGTGAGGACAAGGTAACCCGTCATTGTTTAGGACAAAGACCAAAGAAGATGGGGGTCGGTTGACCCAAACAACATTACACATCTCCAAATTACCAAACGACGCAAGAGAATCCGCCGCCATATTGGCCGATCTTGGAACCCAAGACCAGCGACAATCCTGGAAAGATTCACCCAAATCCCAAGCATTTGCCAAGAAAGGATAAGCCTCCTAATTGCCATTCAGAAGAGAATTCGAGAGACAAGAGATAGATTCAAGGGAATCAGATTCCACAATGACCGAACTAATATTCAGAGAGACTGCAAGCTCACAACCACGGAGCAGAGCTAACACCTCGGCCATCGCAACGCAAGACGCAAAAATGGGATACCTCACAGCAGCAATAAAATCCCCCCTAGCATCCCGAGCCACAACCGCAGCAAACCCAGCCTTAGACACCCGAGACCAACTAGCATCCACGTTCAGTTTAACAAAAGGGGAAACAGGAGGAGTCCACCTGCAAGGCTGCCTGACCCGACCATGATCCACCGCCCGCGAGATCTCAGGGGTCGATCTGGCAATCAAGAATTCAGCAACAGAAAGATCAATACCCATAAGAATCTTAGAGGGAATGATATGGACCTGATTAAAAACATAATCACAACGGGACTTCCAAATATGCCAACACGTGAAAGCCACATAAGTCCGAACCCACTCTTTACTCGCCGAAGAGCCCAAATTAGAGGTGAAGACATCATGCAGCCAAGCACCCCAGCTAGATAAGCTCCCAACCAGGATATTGTACTTAAGAGCCCCCCCAGACCAAATAGAAATGACCCATGGGCAGGAAAGAAAAAGATGCACAATAGATTCCTCCTGACAAAGACAAATTGGGTAAATAGGGGTTAGAGAAGAGCGTCTTTGAAACAACACAGCCACAGTAGCTAAAGCGTTGTGGAGCGAGCTCCAAAGAAAATTTCTAACCTTGGCAGGCACCTTGATCCTCCAAATTCCCTTCCACAGCAACTCCGGAACAGAGCGAGAGTTGGGGGAACAATGATTTCTCAACGAAAGGGAATGCAACTGTAACCATAAATAACCCAACTTGACCGAGTAGATGCCATTTCTGGTGGACGCCCAAATCAACCGGTCTTTTCTCCGAGGGTTTCCAATAGGGGTGTCGCAAATAGCCGCACACTCCCCCGCCGACAGGAAGGGCAGGAGAAACTCCAAGTCCCAGGTCCTGGAAGATGGACAAATAATAGAACTTACTCGAGTGTTTCTGGTCACTGCAACCTCACCCAAGGGAGATGGATGTCCCGACAGAAGCGCAGGCAGCCATCGATCCACCCATAGCCGAACCTCCTCCCCACCCATGATCTGCCAATGAGCACCCTTTAGAATCAAATCCCTTCCCACCAGAAGGCTAGACCAAGCCCAAGAAGCGCGTCCACCTTTGGAGGCATCAAGAAAGGAACAATTCGGAAAATACCGAGCCTTCATCACTTGAGCCCACAACGAGTCAGGTTCTGCAATCAACCGCCAACACTGCTTGGCAAGGAGGGCATCATTGAACTCCTGGAAGTTTCTGAAACCCATGCCACCCAGATGCTTTGGTAAACCCAAAGTCTCCATAGAAACCCAATGAATCTTTCGTCTCACACCAGAGTCATCCCACCAAAATTTAGCAATCAACGCATCCAATTCCTTACAGAGGGTAGCAGGAAACTTAAAAATATTCATAGGGTAAGCGGGAATGGCCTGGACAACGGCTTTGATTAACACCTCCTTACCCGCTCTAGATAGCATGTTTTGCTTCCAACCTTGTAACTTCCCCAAGATCCGGCCCTTAACATAAGCTAAGCCAAGTTTATTCGACCGACCCCAAATAGCAGGAACCCCCAGGTAGGAGCCCGGGTTATCCACAACAGTCATTCCTAGAATGTTCCCCAACTCTTCGGATAAAAACGATTGAACGTTGCCCAAAGAAAACACTAGATTTCTGCATATTAATGGCTTGCCCAGAGGCGTTGCAATAATCCTGAAGGAGGACGACCAAGTTATTACAATTCTTCCTATCCGCCTTCAGAAAGATTAAAGTATCATCCGCAAAGAAAATGTGAGAAATAACCGGACCAGCCCCATTCAATTTAACCCCATCCAGTTGCCTCATCTTAACAGCCCCCTGAATCATTTTGGATAAAACCTCACCCACCAGAAGAAATAAGTAAGGCGAAAGGGGATCTCCCTGACGCAGCCCATGAGAAGGAGCAAATTTCTCACCAGGTTGACCATTCAGAAGGACCGCAAAGTTAACTGAAGAAACACAACCCATAATAAGCTTCCTCCAGGAACTCCCAAATCCCATCCTCTCCATTACTGCATCCAGGAAGTCCCATTCCACCCTGTCATAAGCCTTCTGCATATCGAGCTTAATACCAACTTCAAACCTTCTCTTGGCTTTTTGAATTTTCAAGAAGTGAAACACCTCATGGGCAATTCCGATATTGTCTTGAATCTGTCTACCCGCAACAAAAGCATTCTGCATAGGGGAAATAATTTCAGTCAAGATAGGCTTTAACCGATTCGCCAATACTTTGGATAAAATCTTGTAAGAATAGTTGCACAGACTAATGGGACGGAACTGCGACACCATCTCAGGATTCTGCACCTTCGGAATCAAAACAATGTGGGTGGAGTTTAACTTTCGAGGGCTGTCCTGCCCCATAATCATAGAACGGACCAGATCGTTTACATCCCCTACAATGTTCTCCCAGAATGTATGATAAAACACCCCTTGAAAACCATCAGGGCCCGGAGCTTTCAGTCCACCCATATTTAGAGCCGCAACTTTGATCTCCTCTTCCAATACTGGCACCATAAGCGCTGCATTCATCTCTCCAGTCACCATCGGAGTTAAGCAGTCAAGAGTTGTCCCCCAATTTCGGTCCCCCTCCGACCGGAACGAAGTCAAAAAATGCTCATCCACCAGTCTTCTAACCTGATTGGGGTTATCCACCCAGTCACCAGTCGAGTTTCTGATTTTAAGCACCTTATTTCTTCTGCGCCATTGAAGCGTGGTCTGATGGAAGAACTTGGTGTTAGCATCTCCCTCCTTTAACCACTTAACCCGAGATCGTTGGTGCCAGAAACTCTCCTCCTGCGCCCATAGAGTATCAATCAACCTCGACTTCTCTAAAATTTCCTTTCTATGCGGACCCCAATTCTTTTGTAACTCCCCCAATTGTTCCAACAGATAGTCAATCTGATAGCTCCTCATCTTAAATTTGTTTCGGCTCCACCGGATAAGCTGAGACCGGCAATCATTAATCTTTTTTAGCCATCTCACTTGGGCACCCCCTTCTTCCCGACAGTCCCAACTCTTCCTCACCACTTCTTTGCAATCCACTTCCTTAGCCCAGATTGCCTCAAAACGAAACAATTTCCTTCCCCTCCTAGCATCCGGTTCAGTTTGGATAATAATCGGGCAATGATCCGAACCCAAAAGCGTCCCGTGAGTGACCGTCGTGTTTGGCCAAACATCTTGCCAAATCCTATTGCAGAGACCCTTGTCCAGACGTTCTTCCACCAGAGATCCGTTTCGCATGCCCCGCCAAGTAAAAGCTGGACCATTAAAGTCCAGATCCAACAGCTCAGAGGTGCTCAAGAAACTTTCAAGGTACCGGGGCCGATTGTAAAACACCTGAGAGCCTCCAGCCTTCTCCGAATCCCACAAGAATTCGTTGAAATCTTCTGCACATAACCAAGGCATATCTGAAGGAGAGAAGTAATTACTCATCCAGTTCCAGAATTCCACCTTATCACATCTATATGGAGTACCATAAACTCCCGTAACTCTAACCCACCTATGAGCTCCTATCTCCATCATTCTGGCATCAATTATATGCTTTGAGGAAAATAGAATTTCAACATCCAACGTAGCATCCCACCACAGACTTAACCCTCCCGCTCTCCCAACTGGAGTAACATTGAACCCATTCAAAAAACCCATTCGTCTCCTGACTCCATTAATTCTATGATCTTTCATTTTATTTTCCGCTAGAATGATCATATAGGGTCTGCGATTCCTTATTAGCCCATGAATGGCCCGAACTACCGTGTCTGACCCAAGACCCCGGCAGTTCCAGAATATGTGTATCATGGCGAACGTGCGGCTGTTGTAGGCCAGCCGCCACCACCCTGAGCCACATCGCCCGTTCTCTTCATCAGATTATTCCTATCAGTTTTCGAGACCCCCACAACACATTCCCACATATTCTGAACCACAATCGGGACATCCCGATTCTCCTCCTCAAAAACAATAGTATGTTTTATCATTAAGCTGTGTTCCGGGATACTCGAGCCTCCCAAGTATGCCGTCATCCTCCTTTTTTTTGCCTTCCCATCCCCCCGACATTTGGATTTTTTAAGGGGGGACTGAACCATTTCAAGACATTGAAGATCTCCTCCTCTTTTCATCTGGCTAGCCTCATCCAGATTGGAGTATATGGTCTCCCTCTCCCTTCCTGAAGAGTCATCCGCTTTATTCCCCCACTCAATAGCACCCTGCATATGGTTCAATCCCTCGTGAATATCTTCAACTCTAGCTGATTG